CCATGAAGTGTTGCTATTCAGATCTACACGGTGTCTTTTAGGTCGTATCGTTTTAATAGAGTTTGTTGAAGAAAATGTTTCTTGATAGCGGTAAGTTTGTTAGATACTGGTATTGGGTGTAACATAATAATATGTTAAGTAGGGTTGGTTTTCCTCATAGTAATAAGCTTTGTATCTTCGCACGTTTTACTTAAGATTTAATATTGACTGTAGACGTTATGAGATGATAAAATTCATGACCTCATTGTCGTCGTTTTCATTCACCTATTATAATAATAATATTGTCTCAAATATTTCGTAATAATTTTGAGGATCAACTTAAGTTCAGTGACATTGATATACTTAAACTGTTTCTAATACAGTCAAAACTTACCAGCAAACCTTCTACGCCCTTGTGTGCCACATTAAAATCTTTTTTCTTGAGTAGCAAAAACCGCACCACTTTACGATCTTGAATCTTAAATCATGTGTGAAGAATACATGAAACGGGAACGCTTTTAATCAGCGAATTCGTTAAGGATAAATAATTCAAAATTTCGTTCTGTTACACCATTTTGCCATTAAATGTTTTAATGTTTGAGATGTGTGTAGGTACGCACTGCTTTGTTATACTTACAATACAGTATAGGAAGGTCGTTATTGCAGGCGCAGTAGATTTATTTTTGCATGTCTCAAAAGGCAACTGTTTTACATGTAAAATTATTTGTTATTTAGTTGTTTTATTACACTTGGATAATCAGCACGTAATTTTCATACGAATAAGTGACTAAAGATCTGTCTTGTGTTACATAAAGTCATTTCAATTTCGTTATTACTAAGTAAATGGTTTTTCAAAATATTTCTTCCATGGCATAAGTACCGTACTACATTTACGAACTGTTCAGGAATTCTTCTTTATACATATTGCGTATTGACTTAGTTCATCATTCAATCTGTAAGTAGTATTACAAGAAATACTTACGGTTTATTTATCAGTGAACTTATTTGTTTACTGTTTGATGAATTAGAACTAAAACAACTAAACATTTTAAAGTGTCTAGACAAAGTGAAATGAACCTTATTATCAAAATGTTATTGTTGTTAATGTATAGTAAAAGTTAACATGTGATATATCATGTTTTATGAGTTAGCAATCGGCCACAACGGAAGGTAAACAAGGTAACTGAATGGCTTTCTGCCAGACAAGCTTGGGGTTTCAAACTTGGCACATTACATTTTTCACTGCGGACTTTTTAAACCAAGTTTTTGGTAGGATAATTTTCAATAAGTACTTACTTACAATGAATTATTAAAATATGCTGGACTTATAATCATAATAACGTCATATGATACGATCTCATACAGAATTCATAGAAAACTATGACGTTTCAAAAAAAGTATAATATTTGACGAATTTTAGTCGATATACTCGTGTATTTATAGTCATAATTAATTAAACGTTAAATGAGATAACATTTACTTCCCATCTATATTTCCATGTTATATATTTAATTACAAATACGCCTAACTAATATAGACCAAAGATAGTGCATATCGACATCAAAGGGTTTCCGTATTTCATATTTTATAGGATGTGTTGGTTACGACGAATAATCGATAGTGGGAGGTTTAAAAATATCGTTCGTCAAAAGTAATAAAATAATAAAATGTTCATTTTTCTTGATAGATAATGCTGATCACAACTAAAAATCCTTGATTCCTCGATTACCCTGTTCGAATCATGAAAAATCCAATAGCGTTGTGATTCGAAATTCAAATAGGTAGGTAAGTACAGCAAAATACCGTCCGAAGGGCTCTCGAAAATAACGATACGGCATTTTTTCAAAAATAGAATCCATAATGGATTACTGCATCTCGTTAGCAATAAACTAGGACACTGCGGCATTTGTAACCTTAAAGGCTTGGTTCTGTCTGTAATAGATTACAGTTTGCTTAACCTGCCTTCAAGAAAGAAGAACAATTTTCTCGACACCATTTTCTTCTGACGGCTGTATCTCTCCATGTAATTATGGTACTTGGATAGCTGTAAGTGGAACACGAAGAAACTTCGGAGTTTAAAAAGTTGACGAACTTTTTTTTTCTTTTCCTCTCGTAATCTTTATCGCAAGCCATTTTATGCTATGTCGTATAAAATTGTTAGAAATCTCTGAAGTGTAGGACAGAAAAACTTAGCTGATTTCGAAATGTTTTATAAAGTTGTTAACAATTTGTTACGTACCTACATAATGTTGCGTATTTTTTACGAAAGGGTAGAAGTGACTACGTAACGCTGAAGTGAGCGACTTTTGCTATACTTATTCCGAGTGAGTAGGTACAATGTGAGAGGTTTCATAAACATAAATTAAAATAGTACCTCCCTTGTATCCGCAAATGACGAAACAACAAAATAGACCCGCAAAAAACAAAAAAATAGACAAATCGAAAATAACATTCGATTTTCGGGTTTGATTATTACGCTCATAATGTAAACATTGCTACCGAAATTCAATTCAATTACCACTGTTCCTAAGTTTGATTAAAATTGCCCTTTCACTTATCACCGTACTGCGGTACCGACCTCCTTACGCGAGTTAAAAATAAACGAACACTATGCTTCACATAAAGACTCCATTGATCCCAAATGAGTGCAATAAAGAGTGATTAATGATCATACTGAATACACCCGTTCTTTTGCAGTATTAGGTGGCTCACTCATAATGTTATAATCATGTTTAGTCATGGCACTTTGCTTTTCTTTAAGGAATAATATCAGCCGCATTGCGTAAAGCAAACCAATTTATAAGTGGGTGAGATAAGTATCGAAAACAAAGTTCACTGGCATTACAAATATGATTGATTTAGTTTGTAAATAATGGTTTGTTTTGAGTAACTTCGAAGCGACAAGTTAAATGATTTTCGATCGTTATTTAATGAGTTTATATATATGGAGGAAACCGGTACATTTGTAACTCTGAATTTAATTAAAGTACCCGAGCGACATGCGACGTTGTGACAGCTTTTACTTCATTTGGGGGAATATCATTGTATGTACACACACATCTTTAAAACTAGGTCGCAACGACATGTTGCTTGTCTCCATAAGAGAATACAGCTCCCCTTTTATCAGTTGCCATCAATTCAATCCCTTTGTTCAGGCCAGCCTCGCTTGTATGCTATCCCTCGTTCAATCTGCTTTCATCTTTTACGTACACATGTATCGTACTAATAAGTTAATGCTTTGCAAAAAAAAGAATCGTTAATACAAACGGTTGATATATAAACTATTTTTTATTTTTGGATAGAATATAAAAACAAGAAAAGTGTTTTCCTTTTTTAAATGGCTGGTAAGGCACTTGTGGCTTTTCTGATATTGCAACGGTATCCAGTATGGACTGGGCAGCGTTGGTATCATTGACTTTCCTATTTCGAGGTTTTTATAGTTTGTATTATTTTGCCCACCACGTTTAAAATACGAATTCGGTTGAAATAGTCAATTTGTACCTTCCATAGCAAATACATCATTCCTTTAGGTATAGTAGGTATATAAGGGATGGTAAGAAAGCAACTGAGTAATGAAGTGAAGAATAACCAATTAGAAAGGCGACTAACCATTTAAGAAAAATAAGACAGAAACGTTGAACCGTTGATTAAAAATAACGCTATTAGTAAGCGTTGTAAACTCAAGCTTCACTAAGGTTAAGTCGAGTTAAGTAGGAATAATGGGTGTTTTTCTTCATTCAGTTAAGCCTATTGTGAGTTTTAGAAGTAAATATTGGTAGATTTAATTTCATGAAGTGACTTAATGAGGCTTTTTAAGTGATTATCTTAAGTATTGTTTCAAGAAAATGTTACTCCACGCTATTACCTAAATAATTTTATGTCGTGTATACACACATAGTACAGCACACACATTGCATTCAGAACCAAAACAATGAAATACGCTATTTTTAATAGAAACTAATTTGAGACATATAAAATAATGACTTGACTAGTTTTTTGAAACTAGTAGAGCTTTTCTCGGGTATTTCAGGTTACGTTTCAGCCAGTGTGAACTGTACCTATGTATGTACAGTCAATATTACCTAAGTAGAAAGCAATAAGTACGCAGTCATGTACCTATGTGTGTTTTCGGTACTAGCTGTACCCCGGGGTTTGACTTGCGTATCTAATAACCTATACTCACCAAGGAGTCCAAAGTCTAGCTTCTCTGCAGTCATGATGTATGTAGTTTCGGAGCATTCTCTTCATAATATTAGTATAGATAATCATGACGGAATTTGGTACTTTTGCAAAACAACTCCAATATTCTTTTAACGCTTTTAACCCTGAGTCATGCGGAGGGGAAATGCGGTAGACACCCTTTAATGTCATTTCTAAGCAGAGGGATTGTACCTACGTGGCTATAATGGGACCCTTTTCATTTATAGGTAAATGAAACAGTAGGTACTCGAGACGGTATACTGATAAAGAGATTGATATGAGCTTCTGTATTTGTGTAGTTACTGTAAAATTTGTTACATCGTGTTTCTATGTGTACCTATATAAATATGTTATTTCATATATTAATTAGTTTCATTGGCACGAGTCAGTGACGGATTAATCCAGAAGTTCGTTACAAACTTTGTTGATGGCTTCTCGATAATATACAAAAGGAATAAACTGAGAGGAAATGAAGGATAAATTTAGAGGTCTTATACATATACTTAAGTGTGTAACATTCGCTGCTACGGCTTTCAAATACTATTTATTTTTGCCTTCTGGTTAATCCGGCACTGGCAAGAATCTGTGTATGTTTTGATGAATCAGTGTAGTAAACATATCGTACCTTTTTTGTGACGGAAAAACTTAAGTGAGCTATCTTTACAATGAGTCATCATATTCTACCTTAGTCTATTGACATTGTGTACATAATTGCATGTCGATAAAAAATACCATTTACCCTTTTTGCATATCGATTTAAAAACTTTCATTAATCCATACTTTTCGTGCATAATTAAAACCATTTTGAATGCTTTCCTCAGACGCGGTGGTCGCAATAGAGGCATGGAAGGAGGTAGTGGCGTGGTCTACCGTGTGGTGGGGCGCACGCGCAGTAAGGCCGACTGTGGCCAACAGACTGAACGACAGCCGCCAGCGCCGCGGCAACAAGACACCACCTGGAAGAAGTATACCGACTCACCTGGAGTTGGAGCTCCTCCATTGGTAAGTTAAAACTTTCTTTTAATGTCGAATTTCTTATGAAGATTACAACATCTGTAATCAAGAATATGCCCGTGTTGTGTACCCGTAATATACATGCCATTCGTATAATATTCATGTGGAACCTAACCAACCCTATAATAGAGGTACCTACTTAAATACTTTATATAAACAACTTTTCACTTTTTCTTCCACTTCAATCGATTACATTACTATAAGAAACATTTAATGCTTCATAATCAGTGTTTTGTAGTCCGCATTCGTGGTCACAACTCGCAAGACTCTCGACGAATGCAAGTGGTTTTTTAACACGCAATACATCCAAGTTAGCGTCTAAGATAATTATTTATATTATACTTTAGTTAATTTATTACATTTCAATTCCAGAACCAGCCAGCACCAGCGCCGCCCAGCCCATCACATGGCAGGAAGGGAGAAAGGCGCGCTGGCCACCACTCGCCTCAGCATCACAAGCGGGAGAAGCTGACTGCGGCCCAGCAGCTTGGAATCGCACCGCATCCACAGGTAACATATAAAAAAGAAATAAATTATAGTTTCCTCTTATCCTACGTAAGAAAGATATGGACATACCTTGTAGTGACGGTAGAGAAGATTTAATTTGTCAACCAACATCCCAACGCTTCCATCGGATATCGTAACCTGCGACAAATGAGGACATGATAGAAAATCCTCTCATGTAAAGTTTCAGTACTAAACCCATAATTAGTTGCAGGAATATACAGTGGGTTAAGTTAAACGAAGGACATGTTCAAGGACCCAATTCTGGTGCTCAAATAATACAACTTTTTCCATAACACCACTAGGAAAATCCCAAACGAAAAAATACTTCTCGATGTAAAATGTTCAATCAGCTGTTGCGATTTGTATGGGGAAATAAATTTATTTTTGAGATTTGGTTAATGGGCCTTTAGAAAAAGTTGTAATTGCACCAAAATTGGCTCCTTCAGGGTGTCCCCCGTTTAACCTAACACAATGCATATGAGTACAATACCGTGTTATGTGGGCAAAGGCGAGCATAATAGGCGCAAGTAAGTTTTATTTCATCGCTTATTATTAACCACCAGGCGAGACGACCGCCAGTCCATTCCACTATAAATAAAAAAAATAAGAAATCGGCTACTACGTATGTACCCTAAGCACCGCATATGACGCCGTGACGCCCATCTTAAATCTAGCGCCCTAGGACCTTGCCTAGTTTACATTAGGGATAATACGGCTCTTTATGTAGGTATGATCCGTTGTTAGTTTGATATTTGATACGCGTAATAGTTAGGTACTTACCTAATTAACGCCCTTGGGGAAACCATATGACTATTTTATTCGATATTGCTACAAAACATGGGCGTAAATTCAACCTTGTTCTAAAATATTTTATATTTTATTTTCAGTATGCTGCATCGAATTCTGGGCAACATTCTTCAAGAAGTGGAGGATCACAGGTATTGTATTAATATTACCTAGTTATAAAATACATTTTTAAATAGTTACGTACGTATTTGTATGGAATCAATTACTTTTGTCGATAAATTAATTTAAAATATCGTGTGAAACGAGGAATCATAGCAAAGAATCATTTAGATCATGGACGCCTCCTTAGTAGAGCGTTAGTTGTAAGCTTAGTTCTCCAATACGTATAGGTATCCAATGAAAACCCCAATTGACTTGAAAGACATAAAACAACTAACAAAAAGTTTACTTTTAATGATTAACTCTGCTTTACCGACGGTATCAAGTTGAATCAAAAGCAAATTTATCTATAAAACTAAATATTTTTTTAGCAGCTCCAGTCGCCAGGGGGTGGATCCCGACCATCTAGCGTGTCAAGCGGGGGCAACGGCAGCACTTGTTCTTCGAGTAAAGCTAAGGTGCCACAAAGCTTCGGCTACGTGAAGAGACAGAATGGTGTTCAACCACCAGTACCACAGTCCAATGGGCCACCACAACATGGTACGTTCATTTTTTTTAAATAATTATACAAGTCATTGTAAAAAAAAATCTAAAATGAGTTAGTATTAAAAAACTTCAATGAAAGAAAAGAGGTTGGACTTCAATGAAACATTATTCAAATTTAGAACTATCAACTAAAACTGGCTGGAAGAAAAAATGTGTTCATTGCTTTAATTTAAAAATGGCGGGAAAGTTAAGACCAGATTTAAATTATGTATTTTTTATTGTTTTCAATATTTTTTGGATATTTATTCTAGGTGGAAGGACTGCTCAAGTTTCTGCTGTGCCAAGGACCAAAGTCAAAGTATCGGGCGGTACACAAACATGTACACAGGATCTCCAAATTCATAGTGAGCTATTTTTATATTTACTTCTCATTTTTTGCACCATCTTAGTACTTACAATTCACGTTCCATTAACTATCGCTGCTAAAATTAATAACAATAACAATAGTAATTTAAATTAAATTTGTGTCTACGAAGAAAATTAAATAATTATGTGGGATGCATACTTACCCAATGTAAGTTAGCAAAACTATTTCATTTAGAAATTATTATTTTGTGACTCTTACTATTTCCTAATATAATCAATATATTTCCCTCTAAGTTTAGAAATAAATAATTTGACCTTATAAGCTCTGCCAGAATTGTTCATTTTTGCATGTTTGATTAGTCTATTTTCTATTTATAATACTTACTAATATCTTGTATTTTCATTCCGTACGAAATATTTATGATGTGTAGGAAACATATGTTAGAGTACAAAAATGTTTAATCAATTTCCGCTTATCAACGCATTTCGTTCATTTTTCATTTCCACGCCTACGCAGAAAATGGAATCGGTCCGAAATCATTTTCTTTGGGTGGCACAGCAGCGGCGCAGCTCTCGGCTTCGGTCCGGGAGAGGTTGCTGGGGTCACAGTCACTGCCCAAACCGGGGACACATGAGTTTGCTGCCCTCTTCCATCATCACAGGTAAATAACCACTTCAATAACTTTAAAACAGATAATTTGGAGTGTCCGCACCGTGTTGTGTGTTTTGACTGTCAACCAATTGCATGGTCTTAACAAGTCATGTTTGCTTGTGCAGTTTTAAGAACTAACTATGTGAAACAAATAATACAAAGACTTAGGAACAGACCTCTGATCAAAGAAAATGCAGTCTTAAACTCGTTTTATTTAAGTTTAAAATGGTAAACTTAAGAGCCATCTAGTCTTGTGATGAAATTACCTCACAAATTCACAGCTGACTTCTAAACTCAAACAAATCAACAGTTGGTACAGAACAATAATTGTTTCGTTGACATCAGCAATTAAACAGTTTAAGTAATAAACTGGGATACCCGATATAAGTGGGAGTGAGATGAACATATCTCGTGCTCTTTCTTTTGAGGCTAGAGGATGACTATGATCTTGGAATTAAAAATGCAGGGCAGGATTAGGAGTACTACGTACAATTAAATGCAGGCGATAAAATTTATTATTCAGTAATAATTAACAAACTTGCTATAAATGTTCCACTTCGTTATCAAAGTGTTTAGTGAAAGCGAACAGAAGGAAATATTATTCAAAACAAACATTCGTCGATTCCTTGAATTTTTAAAAGTAGCACATCAATATTTGACCTCTGTGCTCGATTAATCCAATACAGATAACAAAATAATTAATTACTTAACAAATATTTTTATTAGAAATGCAAACAAAGATTCAATTATAATCCGAGAATGTGGAGACAGCTTTCATTTGTTTCGTTCACGAATCAATGGCGACTTGTGTAAGAAAAATATGACGTATTTTTATTAAACGACTTATACATCTCTGTACTGGCCATTGACACTTATAATTGAGTAAATATCATTGCAAAGAAGTATTTCGTGATGTTCAGACGATAAACATTAATATTTCGGTCGTACAATTATTGATATTTTATCGAAGCAACTCGTAAAAAAAGTCGGCTGCCATCATGAGTGTTGACAAGTAAGCAAATAATATATATTCTTATCGATAGTATCAGTTAACGTGTCGTGGGAAATTTGAATCAGTATCCAATCGATATGGTTTAGGACACATCCCTTTGGTAGTTTGAAGTGCTCTTAACTTGCACTTATTTTTTTAAAAGTTGTTTTTCATGGTGATCGGAACGTAGGCTATGAAGCTTTTCAATAAAATCGTTATTCCAGAATTTATTTTAAGAAGCGAAGAAGTTGTTTATTCTTTAAATATCTCCAATGTCTCCTCTATGTGCTAGTAAACATGGTGTGGTGAATTTCGTTAGTTAACAAACGCAATGGCTTCCAGGATCGCACCTAGAGGTGGCATTAAAATAAGTGACGGCAGTCTTTCTGATACTCAAACATATTCCGAAGTAAAATCTGACTACGGGATCCCGTATGCGCCTTGGCTAAGACACAGGTAAATATTGTATATACTTACATTGTATGCGAATGGATGTTGTATTTACATAACTGAATCGTAACCAGCTAATTTAAGTGTTTGTTACATTTTATGTTTTTGTGACAGTTGTACTGTTATTGTTTGTATCATTTTCATTATCATTCTCCTTCATCACTCTGGTGTGCTTATTTTGTGTGTCATTATTTTTATGTGTCATACAATGGGCCTTGGTCTACTCAACATAATGGAGTCTCGGTATCGTCCGAACATTTACTATTCAGTTTTAATTGGATACAAATATTTATGACACGCAAATCTTTTCTATCATAATCTCATGCTTATTTCAGCCCTATTTCGATGGCCAGTTGTAGGACACGACAATGTTTTGTTTGATTAGATTTTATTTTAATTTTGATTCTTAAGTTTTTCTTTTTTAACGTATATGGAATATAATTATGTCAATGGAGGTACAGCTGGCCATTACGTGCCGTCATCACTCTTCCCCTTTTCAGCAATACATATTCGGCGAGTGGTCGCCTGTCGGAGGGCGAGTCGATGGAGTCGCTAACGTCGCTGCACTCTGCGCAGGCGCACAACCACACCTCCTCCCCTAACTCACACCACCGCAGCTCACTCACACACAATAAGCTCATCATGCACCGAGACGCACAGGGCTCCCGGTTAAACAGGAGCAACAGTATTAGGTGGGTCCCCCAATATCTATCAATTAGAAAATTGAAAATAAATTTAAACTCTGGGGTATCAAGCAACAAAATATGATTATACCATCACCAACAAATTGATGAGTATAATGTAACAATTAGATATACTTACTTAATTTAACCTGACTTTGGTGGACTGAATAAACTTAATGAAAATACAAACCACATCTTAATATAGACTGAAACCTTTCAAAATGGAGTTGACTAATCAAATCACCAAGAAGTAGCTTAATTCTTCCTTTTTCATTGATCATGCTTAAAAACTCTTTTCCCTGATACTCATTGATGCTTACCTACTTTCATTGTTATGTTAATAATATTAGTACATACGGCTGGTTATATTACAATGTCTTGACTGTTGGTTAAATTTTTAGCTACCTCAGAGATAGGACGTTTCCAAGGTATGCCACTCGGTTGGGAGTTTGTTCATGTTTTGGCTTCAAGGTGGCACGCTTCATTTAAACAATAAATTTTGCATGATTTGAATAAGGCACGGCTTATCTAATTAATTTCACACTTCGTTGACGCCATTGTATTACAAATGCTCATACCATATTTGTCTATATTGAAGTAAAAATTCATATTACTATATTTTATCTTAATGAGCTCTATTTTTTCTTAATCATACATAAGCATTTGCTAAATAATTTCATAAACATCTGACACCACGCATCGTCATAATAAAAAATTTGAAGAAGAAAATGAATGATCGAAAATTTTCTTTTTTAGCCAATAAAGGAGCATTTCAGAAAAAAGTCTAAATAAAGTATTTTATCATTTTAATTAAACAGGCTTTTGTCGCAAAACGCTGAATATTGTGCCATTTTGTACTGTGCGCTAAAGGGCTTTCACGATGTTCTTGTTGAAGTGCTTTACAGCAAGCTTGGAATGACTGAGAGAATTAAGACCGATTTCTTTTCTTCTTACACTACTTTTAATAGACATGGGCACTTCTTTCCTAACAGAAGGGTTCACAAATCGATTATCAATTTCTCATACTTACATTACTTTAAAGTAGATACCATATCATTGATTGTATATCTCGTAGTAGTCAGTCACTGAGGCCACATATGGAAATTCAACATCAAACATACATACAGATAAAGTCACTTACACCATACGTACCACTCATTCCTAGCTTGAAAGCAGAGAAAGAAACAAGCAATGTATCACACAAAACATGCTTCATCGTAGCAAAATGTACTACATTTAAAGAAAATAAAAATTAAATAAAGTACATTCTTACAGGTCAACAAAATCGGAGAAGCTTTACCCTTCAATGCTGCAAAGATCTTCGGAGAGCGATTACGAGCCGTATTATTGTTTACCTGTACAATATGGACCATCTGGACAAGGTATGACTTTGTTGTTTATGTAGTGATTCATTTCATCATCAACATATCAGCCTTTAAGTGCCCACTGCTGAGCAAAGGCCTCTTCTCACAGGGAGAAGGTTTGAGCATTAATCACCACGCTTGCTCAATGCGGGTTGGCGATTTCGAACTTATAATTAGAAATTATAAGTCCAGGTTTCCTCACGATGTTTACCTTCACGGTATGTCAGTGGTGTCTAAACAATAATAGAAAATACATATAACTCGGAAAAAGTCACATTGGTACTTGCCAGGTCGAACCCACACCTTCATGCATGAGAAGCGGGCTCCTTAACCTCAGGGCCACTACCACACATGACTCATTTACAATTGACGAACTAAGTATTGTTACATTGTGACTTTTATACACGTTACAGAAATGATTATAGGATATTGAACTTTACGATCAAATACATATTTTTTTTTAATCCTATAACATAATAATGTCACTTAGGTACATCACGGGAATAACTTTGTGAGGTTTAGCATTGTGGTACTAAGATAAGTGGATATAGAAATGGTATATGAATAGGTGGGTTGGTTTATTACTAGTTTAAGATTTAGTGCCGTTTCAGTGTTTGTCTGTCACTGTATAAGTGTTTCCACTGTAAAATTTTATGGGACATAAAGAGTTGTATGTTTTACAAACAATGTCCACGATTAACGTTTTATTGATTGTCTCCCATCGACTTAATAGAGGTATAGACTTTACTGCTTACATCATTAATCATACAACTGTACATAAATACTTAGTTTTATAGTAGGTGCTGATACTGGTTTTAATATTGATGGATCTGGGAGTGTCCTTGTAATAAATATTCACTACTGCACGTGGCTTTGAGTGATGCCAATGAGGATCTCACTTATACCGAGCATTCTTGCATAATCAATCTAAATCAGTGTAATTAGAATAATTACTGGGCAAGCCTGTTTTGTATCTTCTTAGAACAAAATCATAACAAAATTATTTCTCCTAGAATTTCTACCTACTAATGACATCATCCTCTAAACAATAGCTTTTAAGTCATTGTCGTCGTGTCTCTGGATCGATACTGTAGTTGATTGGTATTCGAATCAAATAATAAATTTACTTCGAATAATTGTGAGAATATTGGGCGAAAACTAAAAAAATACCGTAACAGATACCTACACCTAAAATCTGATCGATTTCTGTTTTTGGCAGAAAATCCATTCAATCAATGTCAAAAATCGATCTTAATCCAGAAATTTTCAAATCGGCGTGACATTTGCGCTGCTAATCATTTGTAGCTTAGTGAAGAAGTAGTTATTACCTTTATTTGGACCCCACTGACAAACAGTAAAGGAAAAAATCGTGAGGCAACCTGAACTAAAAATTTCTAATTTACCATAAGTCTGCTATCGCCAACACACCTTGAGCAACAGTGGCGATTAACAAAGAAGGTTTGAACATTCTTTATGTAAAAAATAGCTTTGATTCGCCAATGGGATACTTGTAAGCTGATAACGTGTTAAGTTAAACGTGAAATAGATTTTTTTTACCATTGACTATTGTATGTGGTGTAGGTCTGAACTACGGCGTGTCGGAGCCTCCATCGCCATCTCCGAGGTCAGCTCTAAGTCCGACGCATCAGCCTGGCAATGTGATGCACACACCTCGACACTCACACCACTATCCTAAAAAGAACGATGATGGTAAGTAAAATAATTAAATTAATTAATTTAATAAAGATGGTATATATTCCGTGGTCATTATAATAAGAAAAAGTTGTTAAAGCAATTTCATTTCTTATAGTTATTAAATAACATGGGGAATAATAGGACTGTTTATACATTAATAGGTCTGTTTTGTTATTTTGTCATTAGTCACTCGCTGAAGAAGAACCTAGTCATAAATGATAAACATAATACTTGAATTGTGATAAACTGCACCGTTTATTGAACATAACGACTCAGGTACTTGAAATTAGTAGAAATTTTCTCAGTTCATTCACAGGTAAGTAGTTATTTTTAATAAATTCAGTGTGTCTTACGATAATTATTATTCGAAAAACCACAACGTACATTCTGTGTTAGAGCTCAAATTTCGATCATTTTAAAATAATGTACCTAAAAGGGCTATCAAAATGAAATCTTTGAGTTATATGTAGTGAAAGCATATCAAAGAAGAAAAGAGAAAGATGTACGCACAAGTCAAGTATCGTTCCCCAATACTTTAATTAGAGTGTTCTATATAACGGGTTTCGTCCGGTCATTGGTATCATTTATACGAAACAGATGTCCGCGATGCGGCATAATGTCGCAACCGCAAACATGTGGCTTGCATCGGAGACAGAATTCAAACATAAAACATTAATTTACGGTAATGTTTGGGAATATCTCCTTGTTGATAAATACCGAGGTTTTAATCGAACTCTCGACTCGTTATCTTCTCAAATATGTATGTAATAATACATTAACTATTTATTTGATCTATGCATGTAATGTAATTGCATCGACTCCAAAAGGTCTGGAGTGATAAACATTTATTTAATGCATAAGTTTTGGATAGCTTTGGATTTTACATTATGTAAAGAAAAAGATAAACGTGTGCTTTAGAAGGTCTTCATAACAATTCAAAATTATAGTTAGGGCTATCTCCTGTTTACTGGTTTAGGTAATGGCATACCGTAGACAAAATTTTTGCTAATTACAAAAGTGAATTTATTTGAAGCAGCTACATATGTCTCTGCTACCTAATTTTAAATCGTTTTCTGAATATCAATGTGACCTTTAGGTAATTATACAAATATCTACCTAATTATATTATATGCATCATAAAAACAAACATTATCTACTTCTAAACGTGGGAATTAATAATCGAGTGATCTGATTACAAAACCACAAAACGGCTAGACGTGGCAGTCATATATTATTATGTAGGTACAAATATGTAAATAACACAGTTATAAGTTATGTTCATACTTGTTATCACTAATAAGTAGGTGAATATTTCGGGAAACTATAATTAATGTACCGGGTTCATCATCATCATCTTCCTGCCCTTGTCCCGTTTTATTTGGGGTCGGCGCAATATGTTTTTTTCTTCCATTCTGTCCTGTCACCCGTCACGCTATCACTAACTCCTTTGTCTTCCATATCACTTCTCACGCAATCCATCCATATTTTCTTTGGTATAATGTACCGGGTTATTCCCAAAGAATTATTAAAAAGTTAAATAGGTACCTATCAATTTTTGTTTCATAAAAGCCAAGTAGTTCTGTGTCTACTTGGTTTACACCTAACATTATATTATACATAAAATAATATAATAGTAATTGCTTTCCATATAAACATAACTACGCAAGACAGCAAAACCGTAAAGTCTTCGTGTAAAATATTTTATAAGTTAGATGTAGTGTTTTCAATTAGTTACTTGAAAGTTTTGCAATGTATACGTACCTACTTATACATATATTAATGCATATGCCACTTACTCCAACTGTGTCTAACATTATTTAAAAATAAAATATTTTCCCAATGGCAATTATGAAGATACTAGCTTTTAACCGCGGCTTCACCCGCGTGATATGTTAATAAAAAGTAGCCTATGTCCTATTCCGGAATGTATCCTATGCCTGTGCCAAATTGTCCAGATGTGTCCAGCCGTTTTGGCGTGATTGAGTAACAAACATCGAAACATTGTAACCTTCGCATTTATAATATTAAGTAAGATGTTTTTTTCAATTTTAACATAATGTATGTTTGTCTGTAGTGCACGGATCCACTGCATCATTAGTGTCGACTGCATCATCCTTGGCTGCTGGCGCGGGATCGGAGGAGAGGCAGGCACACGAAGTAAGTGGGGTACTGTTCATTTTATACCTCTTTACATAACATACGTAAATAATATTTAAATTATTAATGCATATAGGTATGCAAGGTGTAACTAAAAAATATAGCAATTGGGTAGTCTCCTAAGAAAAAAAAATCGTCGTTTCAATACAATAAAATATTAATAAAAACTTTCGATATTTTTTGGAAATTTTTAAGAAATTTTTGGAAATTTTTAAGAAATACTATAACGTCACAATTTGGAGTTTCATATAAATATCATAGAAAAGTAGCGTTTTTGAAATTTGGATAAAAGTATTGAATTCGTGTAAGTAGTTGGAAAATACCGTTTTTTTTTTCTAAGGTTTAGTAATGAAAGAGACACCATCTCTCATTGCATACTAACAAAAATATAACACCTCACTTTATTAATAACATTTTCAAACTGACCACAATTTAGAAAGTGGCAGAAAAATAATTAAATGAAAGCGCACCAATTAGGCCCGGGTTTGCGGAAAATTAAACCTGATATTTTTGTTTAGGTCCGGAAACTGCGGAGGGAACTAGCTGACGCTAAAGAAAAAGTGCACACGCTGACGACACAACTAACAACTAATGTAAGTACCTTTATTTTTTTAATCAAGAAACTTCATTAATATGATGATACACAGATAGTGACTGCGTAAGAAATAACAATAATACCAAAGATATTATAAAAAGCATAAATTAAATGCGACATCTTCGTGGGTGTCCTACCAATCGTCATTAAAATGTAGTTACGTTACATTCAATTTATCATTTTATGTTCTGTATTTGTACGGTTACCACGCAATTCCCAACACAATTCACTACCCTAAAAACTTTTGTCCGAACGTACAAAACATACGGAAGCTCCCAACAATATAATGTAACATGAGACCGTTTTGTAACGATTCTTTCTATGTCAACATAGAACAGGCTGTCAGATTGCGTTTTCTACCACACCTACAGAATGGAAATCCGATATTATCTGCGTAGACAAAATAATGAGTACTCGCCACCTTGTAAAACTATCTAGTGATGATATGCCCACTGATGCTTAGCTGCTCAGTTTGTTTTTATTTGGTCACAGCGTAATTCACACCGATCCAATTTTGTGGTCATCGTATTTCATACACTGCGGTCGACAGATCTCCCTAAGAACACAGACTTTCACTCCATGGTCATATTACCCGTTTCGAAATATGGAGTTTTTGTTCCTACCATCACTTTTTATGGGTATCTCCCTATCGCGTAACTTTTGGATATCGTTGTCGATAACCTAGCACCTCTGAGGCAGAAAGTTGAGATGGAATGTCACAAGTTAGGGGTCAGTAAATAATATCAGAGGTCCGTGCGGCCGTGAGACGAACGTTTGCCCGTTTCTTCCCATATCGGGCGCTAAGAATGTATGCCAACTGCCACCGCCGCTATCTACTGTAACGTACGATGTCCAAGTGAACAGCGAATATGTAACTTAACAAGAATATGTAACTGAACTAGAACAAAATATTATAAAATGTGTGGTTACAACATAGTTTAAACTGAAGATATGAAAAGAGTTTACATAAATTTACAACTTGTAATTCGAGTTAAACTAGAAAAAAAATCGCTATTCTCTTACACCTTGACCGCCAATGACAAATCGCATATAAATGCGAGCGAATATGGCAAGTGACAATTTTGAACTTACGCCGCCGATGTAGACCAAATAAATAAAATACATTTATTTTATAATACCAACTTGTATAGGTACAAGAATTTGTACATTATTCGACAACCCGATAAAAAGCCGGTACCATCGGTAAAAAGAAAAAAACAACGCTAAAAGTACTTTTTATATGTTTTGGTGACTAAAATCGATTTTTCTTAAGTCTGTACTTTACCTTGGCATTATTTTTTACTAAAATGTCAATGTAAACGGACTATTGTTCAGACCAGACCATTACTTTTATCTACACCAATCCAATATGTCTCAAAACTATTCAGTTCTTTTATAAGAGCCAAGATTGTTTAATAGATACTCACTTAAATAACTTTACTGCGTTCAATGTTTAACTATACTTGTTTTAAATTATTAAGAAGTCCTCTAATTAGCATCTGACACGTTTATCAGCGAGCTTTATCTATAAAGCTGTCATAATAATCTTGACGATGATAGGAATGTAATTGACATATCAATTAGATTATTTCAGTCTACACTTTTATTAACTGGTTATACCAAACTTACCAAACGTACCTTATTGGTTTTTGTACATCATTTATAGCAGTAGGTATAGATAGATTATTGTGTAAATTTAGTCATAATTACCCATTTAACAACACATCGCAGTGTGATTATTAGGTAAATTTTGTTAAAAGTAGCTTCGACTTCAATCGTGTTAATTAATTATGATTGATAGATAGATACTACAGACTCTTAATCATCGGTACGCAATATGGGTATGCAACATGCATTAATTAATTTTTTGAATGCATCCTGTTTCAATACGTCTGATTATCATAAAAGCCTTTTAATTGAGGACGAGTTAGTAAGAATACGAAGCTGATTTAAATTTTGTGATTGATTGATTCTTAAAAGAAATCCATACGAGGCGATCACAAAACGAAAGGTAAGCGAATAAATATTTTTCTTTCATTGCTCTTCAGACAAGTAACGGTTATATCTCATTAATATTTCTACATGTGTTTGTTTAATTCGTCTGGACAAAGAAAAAGTCGACTTTTCAATGAGTAGAGTATTTTTTCTTGTTTCTAATTTACTCGTCACTAAAGCATAGCGAACATGCATAATTCAAGACGAAAGACGTCTTCCAATGTTCTTGTGTCGCCATTGTTTAGTTTTGTGCCGAACGAGACTTGGCCACAGTGGATGATGTCGCGTCTCAATGCCATATCATTGACTTTGAGTTGCCTACCTGTACCTATACGACAAAAAATAATAATAACGTCATGAAAGTGCTTTGTGTCATTGAGAACACTATTTCCTTTAGTGGCTATTTCAGCATCCCGACGTCATTAATGGCTGCGCTATTGACATTAATTACTACACTTTAGAGTTGAGCAATGAGATTTTTTCTTGGTCGTCTCACATTAGAGTGAAAAGCGCGACGATGTGGACGGTCACATACGAGATACCAATTGTACTCAATGGCGATTTAATTTGATATATCGGCCGTTCATGCCCGGTTTGCCTTCACGTTACAGTTTGTAGTTATTAATGTCATACCAATATTCGTATTTTAACGAAACGATATTAGGTATTTATCTCTGATAGTGACAGTTTGATTTATTTTTATACCATGTTTACACTGTCAATAAACACTAATTTTATGTGTCCGATTAGGCGTCCTTGTAGTATCTCGTTTACCTCTATTTAATTGTGTGTAAGTAATTACTTTATTACATTTCCGTTATCTATTGACTTAGCGTGTGATTTTGAGGAGACGGTAGTCCAAGTAATGAGTCATATCTATTATTTTCAAATTGACATTCAATAAATAGTGGATGGCAGTTGGTTGGCACGTAGCCACGTTAGTCAAAGAACATCTTTATTTGCGACGAATAATAGTCAACTAGCCATGGATTATAGAGGAATTGTTCATTTGAAATGTAATTGTTCGCAATGAGTTTTAAGTCTTTTGATCTATTATCTACTGGATATCTACCTACTTCGGAAACGAGTCATGTTACAAATTCCTCGATAAAAGTTTTAATCTTATTTGATTGTTTACGTTAATATCATTCATTCATTTTAATTCAAACCGATTGTAAGAATAAAAATAGTTGATTTTTCTTAGTTGAGAAAACTGAGAGAATACCGTCTGTAGACCCAGTAGCATTCAATTAATAATAATTATTTTATATGGGATTCAGATTATATAGATCTATTGTCATCAGTTTTAGAAAATATAAACATGTTTGTATCGCAGTCGCCGCGTGCGCAGAGACGTTATCAAGTGTAACTTGAGCCCGTGGCCCATAAATCCTCAGAAATGCCTGCCGCACTTGCGCAACAAGTGGCCCGCGTATAGATAATGTTCGTGTCCCGCCTTCTTTTCTGCTCTATCTTTTAATATTGATATCTTTATTCAATTTGTAGAAACAACATAACAGAACAGAACATTATTCAATATTATTAAATATATTATTCAATATTATTAACCTAAGAATTCAAATTTAAAGTGTAAGAAAATGTTACAGTTATCGATACAATTGACATTGTATTTAGTTAGCACCATCATTGATATTTCCCCGCACCCTAAAACTATCCCTCGTCCCCATCCTGTCTGTAATCAATAGACCGTGTGTTACTGGTCCGATCAGTGATCCGGGTTCCTTGGGTTCCGTGACTCAGTTAAATTCAATGCAGTCGGTCACAAACCGTACCATCAGTCAAGCCAGTGTGGACGGAGCCTCGTTAGAGTGCGGTCGTGCGCGTGTTGGCTCCACGTCTTTATACACGTTTCCTTTACTACGGACTTTATAAACAAACTGTTGCTTTATATAGTGAACTATTGTGATGCAAGTGAAAAGTGCTTAATGTTTATTAGTTTTAGTGCATTCTCTACGAGTTTTGGTACTTACTTATACTGGAGCATTGCACTTTCTGTCATCTTTTCAACTCCATATGAGCGAAACACGTTTGATTATAGTTTGTTGTTTTGTTACCAAGACATCCGGGTTTAACATTTGTATCAGTTGCCCATATATTTTGATGATTCTAATCATACATTACGTTCTATGGATTGTTATTACAAAGAGAATCTTCGGTTTATTGTAATGAAAATCATTGGCGGGTTTTAGGTATAATTGGTTTTCACTTGTTAACCGACTTAATTTTAATCATGCTGTTATTATTCAATTATTGTTGTGAATAAGTATTTAGGTATCTACTATTAAATAGATGTGTAGTTTAATATTGCATCTCCCAAAAAATTTGGGGATATATTGATAAATCAAACTTTTTCGTTTCAACTTTCTGGGTCTGTGAAGGAGCAGGTAACTGCGTCCCTTTTTTACGCGGGGCTTGTAAGAAACCCCTACTGAGAGTTCCTGCTTGCACGAACAATATCCCTTTGATGACTTTGTTTACGTCTACTATTGTGCATGTCCTTGGGTTCTACTCGTAAAGTAACAACAGACGTTTACTATATTACTAATTTGACTACGAAATGTTGGTTGGATACGAACTTTAACTGCACGAACGTTTAATATTTTGTTGCAATATCTAAAATATCTTTAGGTCCACTCGAATCGCTGTTTATTTAGCAATACGCATAAATTGTGTATTGATGGCCATGAAACTTGTCAATTGGGAAGAGTTGCGTATGTCTCTCAACCTGACGATAAAAGCTAACATCAAACGTGGACCGAAATCTGTTTATAGACGATCTGCTTCTATTTGGGGTCAAACGTTTGATATTCTAACTCTTTTGATGTGTTTTACGGGGATATTATATCATGCAGTTTTGTAGTACCGCGTTGACTGCACTTTTACTTTGAACGAAAATAAAAAACATTTGAGTTTAATGCTCTTGTTTATTATTTGTTAGGTGTTCATATTTTAATATTGTCATTAGTAGGTAACGGATGTTTT